CTTTTTTGAAGCCACATCCGCCACCATCTCATCAAGGGTTGGCTCGTCGATATCTGCGAACGATGAATTCTTGGAGAGTCCTACGTGTCGCTCCTTGCTGCAGTCGATGTTGATAGTCTTGTACGTTCTGATAATCTGTTCCTGCACGTCATCCGTATAAGGAGTCACCAGACCAAGCGCCTTCAAGCCAAACAGCTCCATCGCCTTGTTCAGCGCCAGCACTGATGTCGTGGCCGGGATCCCCGTAGCAGCCGTGATTTCCTCACACAACTTCTCATCGGTATCGAAGCCCAGCCAGCCAGACGAGGTGCCGCTCCAGCCAATCATGTCCACCTCGGCATCGGCGAGGAGTTGCGCAGCAGCGAGGATCTTCTCAGTTTGGAATTGGTTCAGTGCATCGCTGGCAAGGCCGATCTTGAGGACAGTGAAGCGGGAGAAGTGCACACTGACATGGGGCAGGGAGGCGACAATGGCCTGGCTGAGCGGCTCAAGACTGGTGTTTGATGAGGGGGTTAAGATGCCTAGCTTGATTCTTGGTGTCATCTTTCTCGAGCTGTTCTCCATGATCTAAGCGGAGTTGGATATCACTGGGGTTTGGTGTGAGGGGAAATGAGCTGCGGGCGACGAATTCCGAGATTTTTTATTTTAAACAGAACAGTATGATTACGAAAGCTGGCAACAAAGTGATATCATTCAGAAACCAACCCCTCGATATGGCTTTATTGCCCAAGATGATGGACATATCGCAAGGAGAAGACCGTCATCGGAGATCAAGTCCGATCTCTTATCAGCTTATCGGTTAACACGAGCGCGAAGCTCTCATGACTCAGGAGATCAGCGGATTGGGTTGTGATTGTGTCAGATGCCTGTCTACAACTCGACATTTTCCAAGCAAATGGAGTAATAATTGCTTGCACCCGATCACTAATTTTTTTCCTTTTTTTTTTTTTTTTTTTTTATTCAATGTGGCATAAATAGGAACTGGCCTTATGTACGTATTTAGAAAAGAGGGTTGATATACTTGAGCGTAGTCTCTATGAAGGCGAGATCGGGCATGCCATTTGCAAATAATGCTTCATAACGTGGTAAGACTGCCTCAACTTTATACGATGCTGGCCTTTAATTTGCCTTATTGACTGATACCCGGAACGCTTCGCGCTTCAAGTGCCAAGTTTCCGCCGTCGGGCGCCAGCATTCATGGTGAGACTGGTACTCATAGACGCAATATGGTATTTATACAGTGTTCAGGTAAAAAAAGGAGCCAACCTCGGGGGGATAATGTGAAGTCAACTCGATGTATTCTGGTGCCTACAATAAGCGGTCATCTAAAAGTCGTTCGAGCAAAGATTTGGGCAGGATCTGCATGGCCTGGTGCCATTGCCAGACAGTATCCATATCGCCTAATCAAAAGGACCGGACAATAACTAAGTGATGATGACCCTGTTTTTTAAAGCTCGCCTAATTTTGACTGCGGTAGCTATATCTGAGTCTCGGAATGAGCGTCTAGAACGGTTTGCTCATCACTGTGCTTGGTAACCCATCATCTTGAGTGACCACCCAGAGACTTGAAGATGAGGCAATGAGGGGGGCTATCTGGATCTTATCACTTCCAGCGTCCGCCTAAAGAACTGCAAATCGTGATTTAATCTTACCCCCCCTTCATAGATGGCTTGCCATAGCTTCACGCGTTCAAAGTGCTCCCGTATACTTGCCTTTTGAAGGGCAGGCATTCAGAAAACACATCGCAGATGGTCGGAGATTCTCTTCAAGGGCTTTTGGGCTGCACTATAGCATTAAGTCTGAGCTGCCGCCCTCTGGTGAGACCATTATTCTTCCCCCTTTCTCCTCATATTCTAGGACGAGTTGTGGTGCCCCAATCGAGGAGAAGCATCAGAAGGAAGAATATGATAAAAGGATGTTCAAGCAATATATCTCTAGGAAATTTTCTTTATCTATCAATTGACGTATAATTTGCCGAGTGTAATATTGCTTTATGTAAGCTCACATGCATAATTTCACCTCAATATGACCTAAGTATGTCCCGAACGCCACCTCCAGCCGTTCTTGAGAATCTACAGCGTCTATAAATACACCGATGGTGCAAGGTAATCATATACCACGCCCATTATGTCTACAGCCTAGGAAGAGAGGCCTTCGTGAAGTTGAAGGATATCGAAACATCAATCATCAGGGTGGCTTACTATCAAGGGTGGAGATATCGGATGCGCGTTGACTGACATTTGCCTCTTCGCCATCCCTGGATGAGGTTCTCTCCCAAAATTACATATCTAGCAATACCAATGGATTGTTCTTCAAAACCTCAAGAGGAGACTGGCCGGTGTTCAAGTCTTCATGGGAAGCAATTGGTACGTCTCTGCGGTCAGATTCTAGCACACACCTCCTCATATTATTTCATGCGGAATTCTCTTGACTTCTTCCCACCCTAGTTTTCTATAAATGAGTCCTTGATTAATACACTGATCAAGTCGTTACTCTCACGCCTCTTGAAGAGAAGGCCGTCTGCCCTTGAGATTTGGGTTCAGCGACTGGAGGCATTTTCTTGTCGCGATTACAGCTTTTGCTAAGTCCGATATATTATATGCTAGGTTGACGTGAGACGCCACTTGAAACGCAATATCCGAGCGGTTGTTTTTATCTGAGTATGAAGGCGAAGAGGAAGGATAAATAAGGGAACTGATATCGTACCAACACCCTGGGGAGTTTGGGTGCACACATCATAAGTCATGAGAAACGAGCGAATCTCTCAAAGATCTGCTATAAATAAGGTCATGGGACGGAATATTACGATGCACAGCCGAAGAAATCCAGAGTTCTATAAGAATAGCTGGGGCTTCCGCATACGACATAAAATTTCGCATTGCCTCTTGATACGTTATATGGCCCTACCTAATAGCGTGGAGGGGAGATGACAGGTGAGCAGTATGATACGGGTTCGTCGTTCTGAATCTTGCATATGATTTATCCAGGTCGTTTAAAGAAGATAAAATCGACGGCGCCTCGTGATTTTACTTGAGATCCCCGGTGTTCAATGGTTGTTAAGGTGGTTTGTGAGGTCACGATGCACTCAGCTAGTGGTACCTCCGACATTTTTAAGTCCATCACAGGATAGATTGGCCTTCCCTTCATCCAATGACACAGGCGCTTAGGAATACTTGTTAGGCTATTTCATTTTCACCATCATTCTCATCACTTTGACATCCCCTGATGCCTCGTCTAAACCGCTCTTTTATCAATCCCTCCTCATTTACTACAGCTTGAGAAAGAAAATCTTTATCGTCATCGCTGTCTCTCCCGTTTCATACTCAAAACATATCTCTGTAGATAATTTGTTCAGTAGCATGCCTAAAAGGGAACTTCTTGTCATTAGGGGGGTATCTCGTCGGATCAGGAGATGGGATCGCAGCTGGCCTAGAATGGGGGGAGATATGGGTTCAAGAGGATTCAAATTGGTTATCATCTGAATCGAGTCGAAACATGGTTTTTGGGAAAAGAAAAAATATAGGGAAGCTACTTAGCGCTCAACAAGTTGGAGATGGGACAGGAGTTACATCAGGAGGTGAGGAACCACCAAGAATCGAGTATTGGGTTATCAAGATGTAATGATTTTCACTTCATTTCGCCTCATCTTGATATCGTCTTACATAGTTAGCCTTCATCTGTAAATCAGATTTCCCTCCCAGAGGTGCCGATTCACGGAGCCTAAACTGAAGCTTATGTGGTATTCCCTCTCACGGTCAGCGTGCGGGCAATATTTCCACAATAATTGGGTCAAATAGAAATATCATTAAGAAATTATCGAGATTTCTATATCTGGCAATTTTTTACAAACAGATTTTCTGTTATTTGAGTCAGTGATGGTATTCTTCATCATATGTCGCGAGTCAGATTGGGTAACCCATGACGTTGCCCTGGATATTGGCCCGCCTGGATCCAGATCTGATGCACGAAGTCGATCTTTTTTATCATGTGGTTAAAACAGTCTTTGGAGCGGAATGCGACGTCCATCGCGGAATTAATATTTTCAGCTTTGACGATCATAAGTGGCGCCAGAGGACACCAGGTTGAATCTGTGTGTTGATGAGCAAGACTGTGGAGCAATTGATTGCCTCGGATTTTAACCTCTTCTGAGATAATCTGGGGAAGCCAATTTTCGGTGGACTCAACATTCGAAACTCCCCATTCTCGTGTGCTCCTGCAATTAATTTGCAGCCGTGCCTTCGCGTGAATCCTGAATCCATTCTCTGCCAATGCACTGATTAACAAAACAGGGGTCGTACAACACGTGAACGGCAGAATTTGAGGTGCAAACCATGGGCAAGGCCTTTAGTTGATCCTTCTCGCCTACAAGGCTCTGCCCAACCCCCTCAACCAAACATGGATGACGAGGCCAATTGCCTTTGTACAAACCGTTGGTCGGCTTCTGCTCGACTCAAGAATCCATCCAGTTGGTCAGGGTCCGGTAAGTGATGAGCTCGCAGTGGCAATGGCTGGAATCGTACCAGAAAGGCAGTCCGTAACGTCACGGCCGGCCTCACTTGAGGAGAAACGGGACCAGGTGCAGAATTTGCTCCAGGTGCCACCCGCTAGGGACTGCGTCGCACATTGCAGTAACCGCCGGTCGGTGTGTGTGCCAGTGGCGCCATTCGCAACGGGGTCTGGGGACGACGATCAATTACCTGTGGAGGAGTCGTGTTTCGAAGCACCAATCGCAGGCAGTTCAGTCGAGGGAGCCCCATCCAGTTGGGTAACAATATACAGATGCGCATACAGAGGGATGCATGGATTGGCGGGCGATGGGTAGGACGGCATGGAGAGGATGCACTGCAGAGGCTCACGAGGTGCAATGCCATGCGATAAATACGCCACCCTCCACCACCTCTTTGCATGCTGCTTCTACCCGTCCTTCATTCTCTCTGTGTTGCTAACGAAGTGGCATCTACCTGATTCTTCACGCAAGCACAAATCAACACCGACCAATCATGGCTGCTGAGGGAACTCCCGCGGGAGACATTGCTCCCAACCCTCCCCACGAAGCAAGGACTTCGCAAGAGAAGAAACAGCCAGTTGAGAATGTCTCCCCCAAAGATGAGTTTTCTTACGAGGCCGCCGAGGCTGCTCGAGCCACTTCGGCGGAGCAGAGTATGACATTGATGCAAGGTCTCAAGACATATCCTCACGCTGTGGCCTGGTCTGTCCTCATCTCGACTGCCATTGTCATGGAGGGTTTCGACAAGGTCCTCATTACCAACCTTTTCGCCAACGATGCCTTCAAGGCAAAGTACGGAGACTTACAGCCAGACGGCTCCTACGAGCTGACTGCGAGCTGGCAGACTGCCCTATCAATCGCATCCATGGCTGGTGAAATTGTTGGTCTTACCATCAATGGTATTGTCGCTGAGAGATTCGGCTACCGCAAGACAATCATCACTGCCATGTTCCTCGTCATCGCCTTCATCTTCATCGTCTTCTTCGCTCAGAGTCTCCAGCACCTTCTGGCTGGTCAGATCCTGCTCGGTCTGCCATGGGGTGTGTTCCAGACCATCACCGTTGCCTACGCTTCTGAGGTCTGTCCCACGGCACTCAGAGCCTACCTGACCACATACGTCAACCTCTGCTGGGTTATTGGCCAATTCATCGCCTCCGGCGCTCTGCGGGGCACAACCAACATTACTACCCAGTGGAGTTACAGGCTCCCCTTTGCTCTCCAGTGGATATGGCCTGTTCCCATCATGGTTGGTGTCTATTTCGCCCCAGAATCTCCATGGTGGCTTGTGCGTACTGGCCGCCGAGACGAAGCCAGGCAGGCTCTTCGTCGTTTGACATCCAAGCATCGAGATGACCCCAATATTGACGTCGACCTGGACGCCACCATCTCCATGATGGAGCAGACCAACTCGATGGAGAAGGCACTGGTTGCGGGCACGTCGTACTGGGACTGCTTCAAGGGCATCAACTTGCGGCGCACTGAAATTTCATGCCTAACCTGGTTTGCACAAATCTTTTCAGGTGTTGCTTTCATGTCGTATTCAACGTACTTTTACCAGCAGGCCGGCATGTCAACTGAGCATTCCTTCACCTTCACCCTGGTCCAGTACGGACTTGGAGCAATCGGAACCATGCTTTCATGGGTCCTCATGATCCACATTGGACGGCGCACATTGTACATTTCAGGAATTGCAGCCATGTTCGCTCTCCTCATTGTCATTGGTAGCGTGGGCGCCGCTATCGACACCAAGACGCACGAGGCGGCATCCTGGGCCATTGGCAGCATGCTTTTGATTCTCACAATGGTCTACGATATGACTGTCGGCCCTGTATGCTACTCCCTGGTCTCAGAGATAGCGTCCACGCGTCTACGAGCCAAAACGATCGTCCTGGCCCGCTCCACATACAACGTTGGAAATATCATTGTCAGCATCATCGCCCCTCGCATGCTTAACTCGACGGCTTGGGACTGGGGTGCCAAGGGTGCCTTCTTCTGGGCTGGATGCGGTGTGCTGTGCATCACCTGGGCCTACTTCCGCCTGCCAGAACCCAAGGGTCGTACTTACGGTGAGCTCGACGTCTTGTTTGAGCAGGGAGTTTCGGCTAGGAAGTTTGCAAGCACTGTTGTCGACCCCGTGGCGGCTGCTGAGCATATCATCAAGACGGATGCGAAGACTGCTTCCGTTGTCGGGTGAGCAGAGTGTCATGCAAGGTTGGGGATGGCAGGGATATCGGCGAGCAGGGAAGGGCCACCCCAGGAAAAGGGAAAAAGTGTACCTCATTCGCAATTACGTAAATAACAGAACTTCTTCAGTAAGAACAGGGCTCTCAAGGGTTATCAAAGCGAACCCTTGGCTTCATCTAGAATGATCTCTCTTTGCCAATTGCCCGAGGAAACTACACCATCCATCCATCCATCGTGATGAATCAGGTTGAATACCCAATTATAGTATAACTGATTTGAAGGGCATGTATTTTTTTCCCCCCTCTCTCTGCTTCGTCGACTAGTGACCACTGCACTGGGTTCCCCCAGCGTTGTTGTTGACTGTTGATAACTTCACATGTGGTATGACCATTAGTCCCAACGGAGTTTCCCGAAGGTTCTCCAGAATCAATCAATTCTCATGAAGATTCTATTGGATACTGACACCTGCAAATCAATTCCGCTTCAGATGGTTGGATCGAGATGAGCGGGTGTTCGAGAGCACTCTATGGTACCAGGTAGTGGGGCTCGAAGGTTCCAGCACCCACCACAGCCAGTTCCCAGTGCGTATCACGAGCTTCTAGTGACCTCTTTTACATTCCCACAGCAGGTGCAAACGTCAATGTTGCATGATCCATCGTCAATGTTGCATGATCGATGGAGAAATTTCCAAAGCCTACGAGGGGCTTCATAGATTTCTGTAGACGGGCGAACCGTCTGGTTTTCCAGCACGTTCCTGAACTGTGACACTTGATCCCGTAGGACTGACACAGGTATAAGTAACACATCGAATGCTGAGCAGCCTCAGCTCTCTTCTTCCTCACCACACACTCAGATTCCAAAAGAAGTCTTAGAGCACACAGCTACACCACTCTCAATCCTGAAGTCAACTCCAACAAAACATTCTTCTCAAACACACAAGACACAAACCATCAACTTCCCAAACCTCGCTTCAAAATGGCCTTCTTCCCTCGCAACCTCTACCACAGCCACCACACCAACAACAACACCGACTCGTCATTCACCCCCCTCTTCAGGCTCCTCGATGACTTCGACAACTACTCTCGCCAGGGCGGCGGCGCCTCCTCAAACACCCGCCGCCCGGGCCTCCAGACCTGGCAGCCCAAGTTCGACATCCGCGAGACGGCCGACAACTACGAGCTCCACGGCGAGCTCGCAGGCCTGAGCAAGGACGACGTCCACATCGAGTTCTCCGACCCCCAGACCATGCAGATCCGCGGCAAGGTCGAGCGCACCTACACCGCAGGCACCCCGCCCGCCGGCCTCCTGGGGGGCACGTCCTCAGCCTCAGCCATCACTGAGGGCGGAGAGGAGAAGCACGACAGCGCTCACAAGGCCACCGTCGAGGACGAATCCGAGGTCGCTAAGAAAACCGAGTCCCCGGCCGGTGAACCAGCAGCAGCTGAGAAGCCCGCGACCGCCGCCGACAACGCCAAGTACTGGCTCACGGAGCGCAGCATTGGCGAGTTCGCCCGCACCTTCAGTTTCCCGACCCGCGTCGAGCAGGACGGCGTCACCGCCAGCCTCAAGGACGGCATTCTCAACGTCACCGTCCCCAAGGCCAAGAAGTACGAGTCTCGCCGCATCGCAATCAACTAGGGTTCCCCTTGCACCCATTACCGCCCAAGACTGGGCTGGGGATTGCAAAGTCCCATTCAAGTTTATGAAATTATGATAAGACGATACTTTCCTTCATACCTTCTTCAAGCATCCGGGAAACCATAAAAAACGCCTCCCAAAAAAAAACTTTCCTCCAATTCCATTCGTTAATCGGTTATGGTCTGGCGAGAATGTCAATGTCAATCATTACTTCACAATGCCGCGGTGGGAATAGTATGGTTGGTCTCCTTAATAAATAGCTTCAATAATTTAGCTTTTGTAGTCCATGAAAAACTTAATCCGTCAGTGTGTTCTAAACTGTGATTTTTCTCCAGTAGGTTTTTTTTAGTGAATTCCAAAACGTCGTGCTCTCATGCGTCATAACAACAGCTCATCTCACCAGGGCGAGGTGTCTTGTAAAAAGGAAAGGTGATATATCTGTCTCGTACTTATTCCCAACCTACCATCTCCGATCTTCTTTTCTGGGGTGAGGGTGCTAAATAAGACGATTTTCTAGTGTAAAGCAAGGACTAAAAACAATCATCATTCTTTTAATGACCAAGTAATCAAGAGCCGTACTTTTGGACGCAGGCAGCCACTTTGTTGGCAAGCTCATCTGCCTCCCCTCGAGTGGCTGCCTCAGCATACACCCGGCATGCGTTCTCGGTACCACTGGCACGGGCGAAGGAGCGAGCATTGGTGTACTTCCTAACACACTGGTCAATCTCATCCTGGGCACCAGGAGGATGGCTCAGGCGGCGCTCAGCATCGGTAGTCTGGAAGAGGTCCTTGTTGCCAACCTCGACGCGCACCAGGCGGTTGGGCAGGTCGGTGTAGGTAGTAGCCCAGTTCTTGAGGGTCCAGCCTTTGTGGGCAAGAATAACCTCAACCATGAGCATGTCGGAAATGGCATCACCGACGGTCTGGTTGATGAGATCGGCGCAAGCAGCCAGGACTTCAAGAGCTTCCTTCTGAGCAGGGGACTGAGGCTCCTTCTCGCGGAAGAGGCGGATGGCCTCCTGAGAGAAGACAACAGTTCCATGGCCGTTTGCCTCGAAGTAAACGCCAACATCAAACTGGCAAGCAGCATGGTGCAGGTGCTTGACACCAGTGGGGGTGAAGACCACGGGGAGCTGCAGGTGCTTCTCAATGTAGGCTGTGCTAGCACCGTTGGCATAAGCGGTCTGGACAACGCCAATACGGACCTCATCCTCGAGACCAGCAGAGCGGACCAGGTCGCCAATGAAAGAGGCATTGAGTGAGGAGATTCGGTCACCGTCCAGCATGAAGAAGCCGCTCTCGGGGTCGACCCAGTAGTAGATCAGACGGTCGGCGTCGCCGTCTAGGGAGCAGCCTCGAACACCGGGAATAGGTTGGGGCTTGGGGGGTGCCCTTTGCTTTGTCTTGACGAAATCGGCACCAGCCTATGGATTGTGTTGATTAGCGGACACGGATGCTATGGACATGATAGCCAGGAAAAGGGGAGGAGCATACGTCGAGGTTGAGGATTTCCGGTCGAAGGACGTCGTCATTGACAACCTTGCAATCGAATCCAGTGACATCCTTAGGAATGATCTTGAGCAACTCGTTGAGCTTGGGAGCACCAACACCATTGGCACCGTCGACAATGAGTTGGCCCTGGACCTTCTTACCGCGAAGAGCGCGGACGAAAGCCTCGGATAGCTTCTCATAGTATCCCTGCTCACTGATCTTTCCGTAGGCCTTAGGGGTGCCCTCAGTGTTGATGCAACGAGTGAGATAGTGGAGCTGAGGGGTTGTGAGGATCTTGTAGTCGGTGAATTGGATGTCAGTGGCCTCGCAGGCATCGGCGAGGGCAGTAACAAGCGAATGGCCGGAGGGTCTGGTGTCGCGGCCGACAATAACCTTGGCAGGATCGGACAAGTTGATTTTCAACTGGGAAGCGAGAGCCTTGTATGTGTCGAGGAGCTCCTGGTCGGAGGGGGCGTTGACCAGGCGGGTGGCATAGGCCTCCCATTCTTGCTCAAGCATTTCGCCCATGGGATCGACAATCTTGACACCATTATCGGGAGCAGGATTGTGGCTGGCCGTGATCATGACACCAATAGCCTGGCCATTGAGGCGACGGCTTCGAAGGCCAGAAAGCAGACCGACACGGAAGGATACGCCGTCGAGCAGGTCGGCCTTCATACGGAAGCCAGCAGTGCCATACTTGTAAGCATGGCCAGCGACGATGGGGTGCTTGGCAGAAGCGGCGAGGAACTTTTCATCAGCCATGGCTAATAGCTCTTTCACAGGCAATGTTGAAAAGGCGGGAGAGGAAAAGCGATGGGGATGTGGAAGTCGGAAGGTCAGAGGACGATTAATACCACCACTCTGAGCAGGGGAATAGGCCAGCAATGGAGGGGTCAGCTTAGCTCACAGCTGTTATGGAGCTAGGCCAAAGTCAACAAACCCCCACCTCCCAAAACGGAGCGGCGGAGCAAAAACTATGGTCCGGTTTTGGACCCACATTCCACCCACCGGGCATCGAGAAGCGTCGCTGCCTGGCATCGATGGACGCTAAATTGATCACGTGGGTTGGCGTATCCTCATGCTTAGGAATCAGAGGCAACTCTGACTCTTAACGCGTCCCGCCGCGCTTTCCTCGTCAACAGACCAAGACGCTCACCCAACTCATTCTTCTCCGTCTCATCCTCGCCACCACACTCAAATACCGTACAATTATCCCCTGTAAATCAAATCCACTTGTACAATTATGACCGAAGAGTATGATGAAGCCCAAATGGGCGATGATGACACCATGGTTGCGCCTGGCGCGCCGACACCGCTGACGGCTCTGGAGGTACGCAGTCAACAGTCCATTCATGATGACCTACATCTAATCTTCGTATGCTACAGGGCGTTTCTGGCTTAACAAAGCGTGACATTCAACTCATAGTTGAAGGTGGTTACAACACTGTTGAATCTGTTGCATACACTCCTCGCAGGATGCTTGAGCAGATCAAGGGTATTTCAGAGCAAAAGGCTACCAAGATTCTTCTAGAGGGTAGGCTATACCTTTGGCTCGGTATTCGTTGAGAATTTCTTGCTGATTTAGGTACATCCAGCCTCGAAATTGGTACCTATGGGGTTTACCACCGCTACAGAGATGCACCAGAGGCGGAGCGAACTAATTTCTATCACAACTGGATCTAAAAATTTGGACACTCTCCTAGCCGGTGGTATCGAGACCGGATCGGTGACTGAACTATTTGGAGAATTTCGAACAGGCAAGAGTCAAATCTGTCATACTCTTGCAGTGACCTGTCAGCTCCCTTTCGACATGGGGGGCGGAGAGGGCAAATGCCTGTACATTGATACGGAGAGCACATTCCGCCCAACGAGACTTCTGTCCGTTGCAAACAGATTTGGACTATCCGGCGAAGAAGTTTTGGACAATGTTGCATACGCCCGCGCATATAACTCGGACCATCAGCTCCAGCTCCTAAATCAGGCTGCGGCAATGATGTGCGAGACTCGGTTCGCCCTTCTCATCGTCGACAGCGCTACCGCTCTCTATCGTACGGACTTCTGCGGCCGTGGAGAATTGTCCAACCGCCAGACACATCTTGCAAAGTTCATGAGGACTCTTCAACGCCTCGCTGATGAATTTGGCATCGCCGTCGTTATCACCAACCAGGTCGTGGCGCAGGTTGATGGTGGCCCAAGTGCTATGTTTAACCCCGACCCCAAGAAGCCTATTGGTGGTAACATTATCGCCCACGCCAGTACCACCAGGATCAGCTTGAAGAAGGGCCGTGGAGAAACCCGTATCGCCAAGATCTACGACAGCCCATGTCTTCCCGAGGCTGATACGCTCTTTGCCATCAGTGAGAGTGGCATCACGGATCCAGAGCCTAAGGATGTGGATAAAGATTAAATATGAAGCGACCAAGACCATTTATGACACCAGGAACACCAATTGGGGAGCGCATAGCTATCGGCGTTTATTTTTTGTCCTTTCGGACGCATAGCCAACTCTTAGATTTTGGGCTTTTGCTTCCAAGTTACCTACTTAATTAACATGTACACTACCATGGAGCCTGGAAGATGGCAAGTAAAATACATCACAAGTAGATCTTTCAAATCAGTATTTAATTTTCCCTCTCCCTTCATTTTCGATTCGTTGCAACATTGCATTGGCCTTGTTCTTTTATAGCATCTTTGATGTACCACATTTATGTCGCCTTGCATAGCGTGCTTAAGCTTGTTTCCACATTCGGTTAGTGCATAAGCGTCGCGAGTGGAACAAAGCCATCCAGAAATTCTACCAACCTAATAAACACGGCCGCGAACCTCCAGACAAGGACAACACCACCCACTCTCGCGCATCGCTTCTTGATTTCTTCACTGCATGGAGGCGAGATGGATTCAGGCGAAATGCAGTATCTCTTCAAAGAGACCCGCTTGAACCTCGAGCCTCCCTCTTCTTCTGTGGTGACGGTGCGACTCCCCGGCAGCGACCGTGGTCAGCGAAAAGTAAACGACTTGTCACCTGAAGACGAGACGACATTTCGATCGAAGAATCTCGCCAGCTCATCGTCAATCTATCATCGTCAATTCCATACCTCGCCGCGCAGCTTCCTCTGGCGGGTTCTAGAAGGGGGCAAGATTCTGAGTGTTCGAGCGGTGGATGTTTGCCAGAACAAAGAGGACGCGCTGCTAGTCTTGAATTTCCACTTCGCGACACCGATTCAGCCTAACTGCGTGGCTTTCTCCGATCCCCAAGAGCACGATGCGCTGTGTTTCTTCGTTCTCGATCAGTCATACCAACTTTGGACATTTACGCTGCGGCCGGATTTGTTCAGGAAGAGGTCCGCCATAGATGCAGGGTTATCGGATGTTGCGAAGCGCCATGTCCCAGCCGGCCTGTCGTTTAAACATCCCTACAGGATGGTTGCAGTGTCGGCTGATTGCCTCTTGGTTACTGTCAACGACGGTGGAATGATTCGATTCGACCGAAACCCCCATAGCGACGGTAAGTGTTTGTGGTTACGTGGGCACAATTCATGACTAGTTTACTGATCGCGAGCTATAGGTTCGAATACGCTGTGGAAAGAAACATTTTTCAACGTACAAGGATGGGCTCAGAATCTGCGAAGCTTACTACCATTTCAGGGCAAGCATACTGTGAAGCATGGGAAGATGAGCATGGAGTACAGCGCTGCAGCATCGGTTCAAGTCACTTCGCTTGGTGTAGATGAGTGTCTTTTTGCTGTAACCGTTTGTTTAGATCATCGCATGCGCATTTGGGATCTCGATGACGGACAAATTCTTCACACCAGCGATATCTTGGGCATTGAGCGAGCGCCGCAGGAAGTTGGCAAATGGTCCATCGAGCCTTCACAATCGAATCTTGTTCAGATCGTCGGACATAGCCGGGGTTCGCGGATCTGCGCAACCTACTCGCCTGTTGGTGCTGGAGAATTCAAATTCTGGATGATAAGAGCCAAGGGCACCCATGCCGTTACAGTTGAAGATCTATTCCCGACGATATCATTAGTTCCGATTACACCATCCTCATCGGATGTCTGGACCTTGGCAGACTTCGTCCTTGCAAACCCACAGAAGGATTCTATCAGTATCTGGACACTGTGGAAGAACAACATGACGTACAAGGTTCAAAAACTCGACCTGGACAGAGAAAACATGGCTCAATGCTGGGAAGAGAGCTGGGAATTAGTTTACATCGATACCCGCATCACAACACCACAAGCCTCGGGACCGATTGACTCGACCGACGTGACGGAGAAATGGCTGCAGTTGATTCTTCAACCCGGTCGATTCACAAAATCAACGCTGAATACCGCACTATCTATTTATGAGCAGGGCTTAGGAGTCTCTAGGGATGCCAGCCGCGCTCGTGGGCTTGCAGAGTCCATTTGCTCTGTCTTAGGTTCGACGGCCTCCTTAGAGCGGGGAGCGACTGGCGCTATGGACTATGATCAATTCCGATCATCAAGTGAAATTCAATGGCGGAGATTTTACCGTCTGCTTGTTGAATTAGACAAGCAAAGAGGGGAGGCAATGGGTCTTACCTTTGACCCTGAAACGGACATGGCATGGGTTGTTTGTGCGGACCTACTTGGTGCTATTCGGGACTGCAGTGATCTTGAACGATTATACTACAACTTGTCATTCCCAGAAGAAGATCAAGCACAGGAAGCTGCGCTGGTCAGCTCCGCCCTCTCATTTGTCGACGGTTTCTCCGATAATTTCGTCCAAACCAGCAACGCGGTTCTCCGTTCCGAAATTTTCGAGGAATCTCAGAAGACGGATATGGAGCGTATTCAATATTTTTCTGATAAAGCTGGCTTCTGGCGAGGAATCACCGACGAGGACTGCGCTCAGATCGTCGACGCTTTGGGCCAAAACTTTTCCACTGTCACAGACGAGCTGTATGGCAAAGTATTTGGTCTGATTGCTGCGCCAGAGAATGCTAAGAGGCGAGAACTCTCCCATCCGCTTAGTGAGTTCGGACGGAAGTTGGTTTCCAAAGCTACACAGGACAGCATCGAGCTATACTGGAAAATTTGTTTCACCCAGCTCATCCTTCTTGTGCATATGGAGTTCGAATTTGATACCGATGATCAAGCTCTCCACAACAGAGTTGATATCGGTACCGCTTACAGAAAATTTGTCGAGGCTTTACGCAGAGTAGAGTTCCTGCGATGGCTTGCAAAAACAGAGCTGTCGAAAAAGGGGGCCGAGGACGGGCGGGCCTCGACTGCTTTGGAAATCAATCTTGGGCACCTTCTCGGCTTTGGTTCCATGAACGAACCAATCGCAACCAGCATCACAGAGCTTGTTTCCAATCTCTGTGCGCCCGACAGTGACATTGAAATCAGCCCTTCGACAGTCCAGTGCTACCTGCTAAAGAATGAGAGGGCAGACCTGGCACTGGATTTGGCACCATTTGCTGAGCAATCTCCCTTCTCTATCTACGTGCAAGGTCGCGTATTTCTAGCTCTTCAAGATTTCAGCTCCGCTTCTATCCACTTCAGAAAAGCTGCTATAGGAATGGGTAAGTTTTGTCTCGCAGTCTACTTAATAAAGGCAAGGTTTACTAATCACGTTCAATTTGCAGGGTCGACAGATACCAAGATAGATCGCTACCTGAGCAGCGGGCTGCTGGACTCAACAGAGTGGAGCCTCATCAACCATGGCCTTGCTAAATACTACTCCCACCTCGTCGCCTTGTATGAGAAGTACAAGGCGTACTCTTATGTTGTTGAATTTGCCAGGTTGTCGATTCAGTTCTTCGACTCTACCTCGAGCAACGACAACCTTCTCAAAACTGACATGCTAAGCCGCCTTTTTAACGCAGCCGTGGCCACAGCTCAGTTCCAACTGGCACATATGACCCTTACCTCGCTCAAGGACGACGCATTGAAACACTCCAGCTTACGGAAATTGGTTTCCAAGATGTGCGAGACAAACCACAACAATGACCTGATCAAACTTCCATTCCCGGGGATGCAGCGTGATGTCGATGAGATTCTAGCTCAGAAATGCAAGGCGATTATGGATGTGATCAACGGCTTTCCATACCACCAAATTCTCTACTCTTGGAGGATCAGGCATGGCAATTTCAGAGGCGCTGCCTCGATTCTGCTAGACCGAATTCAAAAACTCCGGCTGGCTGGTGAAGGGGACAAGATTGATGGCGACGACGTCCTTGATACACCAGTTACGCGGCAGTATATCTTGCTTATCAATGCTCTGAGCTGCGTCGACACGAAACAGGCATGGATTTACGATGAAGGTGTCCCAGGCTCAGAAGCCAAGGGAGACGGAGAGGCGAAGAGGAAAGTGGTGTCGTTGGCGGACATACGGAAGCAATACCAGGCTGAGTTGGATAGGATCACCGCCATCCAGAACAACCAGTTTGGATTCAAGGCTGACGATATAATGGACCTCTCGTGAGGAGGCACGGTGGATGGGGCTAGAGAGGAGGAACGGATCATGTATCGAATAAAGGGGCATAAAAGGCCCATCATCACTGCGACTTTTTGCTTCAGGAGTCTGTCTCATATTCTGTTGCTGTTTTCTTTTTTTTTAGCCGGCCACTTACGTTGGCCATTTAGATCTTCTATTGAAAAAAAGGGGGTACTGGTGTCATAGGGATCATAATTGAAGAACTTTCTGGGGTGTCTATTGTAACGTCGACTCCGTTCACAAAGAAACTTCTTTCCCAATTCTTAAATTCCGAAAACGCCGAGGTTTATGCTAAAAGAAGAAACAAACAGGCAAGATATGTTGCACACAAGGCTTATCAGACACTACAGATTACCGCCACGATACACATCAGGTCTCTATGCCTGCATGGCCGCCAACTTATTCTCTGATGGCGGTAGGGATTGCGTTCCTTGGCCCTGGACAGGGGCTGCGTCTGGGGCTTGCCTGTAGAGAATAATTTCCGACTGCTTGAAGTATCGTCGAGCATCTAGGTGGTGTCAGCGCAATGTTATTAAATAGATAAGGGTGGTGGCGTCACTGACCTTCGTCGATGAGTACAAGACTGAGGTAATATCGGGTTGAGAACTTCTTGTTTACATCCCGGAACGTGGGAGTGAGATCGAAGCCACCCAAGAAGAGGCGAATCGGGATAGTCTCGCCCCTGGATGGCGATCCGTCCATGATTTCAAACCGCACCAGGGTCTCACTCTCGTTGTACTGATTAGGCGCGGCCCCAGTGGTTTCGCGACGGATGATTGAGAGCTCCATATGCTTGATCTTGAGGCGCACGAGGAGGAAGTAGATTCGCCCGACAATAACATCCTTTAGATGATACTTCGACTTGCTGTATTCAAATTCGATGTGCAGACAGTCCTCGATACCGACGTCCATCTTGATGCTGCTGTTTACCTCGGGGGGGATGCGGTAGCTGTAGACCCAGATGTCCTTCTCGCGGATGACGTCGGCCATGCGGCGGGATACGGTGACGCGGACAAAGTAGCGCAGCTTGACATTAATTCCATTATAAGACTCGTATTGCTTCTCGACGTTCTTGAAGTTGAAGTCGAAGGTCTGGGGGTGCTGGAGCTCACCGGGAGCGGCAAGCTCCTGGTTGAGGGAAAGGAACTCGTAGTGGTTTCCGCGATCGAAGAACATCTCTATAGCCAAGAATCAATCAGTCTGTAGGCTCCTGCAGCTTCAAGGACCCCCACGGGTGCGCGTCTGGGCCGCGATGGGGCATTCGGCCATATCGCTCGAGGGGCTCATCCATACCTATCGTGCCGATGAACTGGACCTTGATACCAGTGTGCTCGAGTCGCTTGCCATCCTTGGGACGAACAGTAACAGCGCCCTTGACGGACTCTCCATCCATAAAAAGAGGTGCCTTCTCGCGACGGTTCTTGTCGAGCTTGACATCGACCATGGACCGATCATCAGTGTCTTCAAGCACGATGTCGATGTCGACGGGCGTTGAGAAAAAGTAAGACATCTTGGGCGGTCGTTGTGTGATCCAATGCAGTCGCTTCGGGTAGCTACGGGAATGCGCAATTGGCTGCAGAGAGCCTTTCGTTGGGGGATGAAGCAACCGGTAGGTGATTGCGCGGATACAGCTACTAAGCTGGTGGTTGCGATGAGGACACTGACGTTACCCCCGTGGTGGTACTGCTACTGCCTAGGAGGTAGCAGGCAGTACAGGCAAGCCTGGAGGTACCTGCGCCGGGCTTTGCTGATAAGCTCCCCACGTGTAGGCAAGTACTCACTACATTCGCAGCACTAGGAGGGGGGCAATCTCATTCACGAAATCGAGTGGAATTGGCAATGGCTAGAGGCACAAATAGCTAGGCAAAATGGTCATCGAGAGGGTATGAGCTGCATGAGCCGCAATGCATCATTAGAATCCAGCCAGCAGTGGACGTGAGCAATGGGAGTGCTCAATGCAAGTCCAGGAGCCGTATCGATACAGACACGAATGATGCCAACCCACAGTTGAAGCTAAGACAGGTAGCTGCAGGCAAAATATGGGCCGTGAGGGCCGGGCAGGACGGACCGAGTCACGTGAACTACCTGCCGAAATTCCCTCTGGAAAATGTGTCGGCCTAACTCCGGCATGGTCCTATCGATTTCCCCCTCCAACCCTCACGTGCACCAGCCCTAGAACTTTTCTGCCCACACGAAATTCGCCAAAGAATTCGAGATCGCGGACCGACGACCCAAGATACCCTCAACCTAACGACAGCATACCTCACAACCGGCAGGATGAAGTACATTCATTCTCAGGAGCTCCTCGACATCCCCGAGGGTGGTATGTGGCACTCCTGTATTTTTTTCGAACAATTCGAGCGTGCCCTCGCTGGCGAGGCGGCGTGCACTTTTAGCGACAGGCCGTCTTCGAGCAAGGGCACATCGAATTGTGAAGGAAGAACCAATTGACAAGCAATCGGCCTGCTAACTATCCCCTATAGTCAAGGTCAGCATCAAGACGAGAATCGTCACCGTCGAGGGCCCCCGAGGTATGAAGCGCACCATTTTCGATTCACACCCGACTTAGTAGCAACCAGGCGTCTGACATGATTGGGAAATACAGGAAAGCTCGTCAAGGATCTCTCCCACTTGGCAGTCAACTTCGGTCAGCCCAAGAAGAACACCATCTCTATTGAGATCCACCACGGCAACCGCAAGAATGTCGCCACCCTCCGCACCGTCCGCTCCCTCATCAACAACCTGATCGTCGGCGTAACAAAGGGATTCAAGTACAAGATGCGTTACGTCTACGCCCATTTTCCCATCAACGTCAACCTCGAGAAGAACGCCGAGACTGGCCAGGTCGAGGTCGAGATCCGCAACTTCGTCGGCGAGAAGGTCCTGCGAAAGGTTATCATGCAGGCCGGTGTTGAGGTTGTCATCTCCGCCAACCAGAAGGATGAGCTCGTCCTGAGCGGTAACTCCCTCGAGGCTGTGTCTCAGAGCGCTGCCGATATTCAGCAGATCTGCAGGGTGCGAAACAAGGATATCCGAAAGGTAGGGAATTTCTCCAGCTCCTGCTCTGGTGTGCTGATTTCCAATTTTCTAACAAATGATCACAGTTCTTGGACGGTCTGTACGTTTCCGAGAAGGGCAACGTCGTTGAGGAATAGACACGGGACATATGGTGTTTGTTTCTTTTGCGTTTCTGGGTCTCAGGAGTGGCGAAGGGTCATCAATGCATGTCAGGTAGCACGGTAGCTACTATACGAATTTAAAAGCAAAGAGACAGTCCTTTTGACCATACTATTGTTAGTGCCTCGTGTACAAACGCCTCGCACAAAAGGTAGCCCAAGTGGTCTGTTTGATCAGTTGGCCGAGATGAGACCTGCCAAAAGCGAGAGATAATAGAAAAAGAAAATGTAAAATGTGCGCATATATATCAAAGGACACTTGTGGGATTGATTTTTTTTTTCGGTTCCTGTTCACGATGCATTAAGGCACGCACGAAAGTCATGGTATTTGTGTGTATTAAACTTGAAGCCAGGGCTCTCTTTCTCTGCTTTGAATCTATCGCACTCGAAACCAAAGGAAAAAATTCAAGAGACAACCAAAACCAAGCCAAGCTCGACCAAGTGAAAGAGCATAAGATTCTCTTCACTCATATAATCTCGTCAAAATATGTACTTTCTCTCGTCAGATGTCGTCATCTGTCATGTCCTCTTTCAGCTCTTGAAAATCGTCATGTAAATGCAAAATAACCGGTTCCATCCTCGTTGATACCAAATAACGCCTGCCAGGTAAAAAGCAACTCGTAAAGGAAATATGTGCATGCAGCTGATTGAGATGTTTTCAACCAACCATTGCTCTCACGTTTGTTTGTTTATAGAATGTGTACAGAATGTGCAGGTGAGCCCACTTCTGGATATTAGTGCGCAATTGAGTACTACGACCTTGATCTCCTCGAGGTCTTGGTGTTGGTGTACGACCGGGGCCGGCGACTATCTCCAGTACGGCGGGTGTACTGGGATCTCCTACCAGAGCTCGAACTACCTGCTAACGGAGTTAGTCTCATTTGCAATATAAATTTAATCATCGGCGTGCGCAAACTTACTAGGACTAGTAGCCGAATAAGAATAGTAGGATTCGCTGTAGCGGGAGCGGGACGACTTTGTCGCAGGCTTCTTCTCCTTCTTCAGGTTCAACAGGGCGAGGAGAGTGGCAGCCAGGCCGGCAAGGCCGAGCCATCTCTTGGTGCCGCCCGACTTCTTCTTCTCGGTGCCAGCTGCAGAACCTGCACCGCCTCCGCCGCCGCCAAACCAGCCCGAGTGACGCTCTCGTCGCGAGTATGCGGAAGGCGGCCGGCTGCCGTGGCGGGAGTAGCGTTCCTCAGTATACTCTTCCCGGGTCTTCTTCTTCCCGCCGCCGCACATCAGGGCCCAAAGTCCGCGAGCAATACAGCAGAAGGCCAGGAGCAGGAGAAGGATGGCACCGGCGATTGAGCCGATGACAATACCAGCGATTGCACCTCCGCTGAGCCCACCACCGCCACCTCCTCCAGCTCCAATTGCAGCGGGGTCGCCTGTCTCGGTTGCAGTGCTGGTCGCGGTGGTTGCTGTGGCCGTGGACCTATCTCCACTACTTGTGATGACGGTTGTGCCAGTGACTCGGTAAGGAGCGGAATATTGAGTGGTGGTACGGCCACCGGTGGTGATGACTATGGTGGAAGGCTCGTCATATCCGGGCTTCGCTGAACATTGGCCTTTGAAGGCACAAGTCTGCCATCCTGCACAGCAAATCGAACCGCACGCCTGCTGCATTGTGTCCGCGGGCACACAGTCCACACCAGCTGTCGGCTCTGGCGCAGGTTGGTACCAGGTATAGGCAGTGCTGGTGTAGGTTTGAGTCCATGTCGTCGTGTACTGAGGAACCCAGTCTCGCTTAACCGGTGAGGCGGAGACCAGACTGGCGGAGGCGGAGAGAAGCAGCAGCAATTGCTGCTGCCTTCGGGAAGACTGCAGTAAGCGCATTATGATTGAGAATCCGATCAAGAATGTGTGTCTCGGTCGGTTTGGGCCGACAGAAATGTCGAGCGAAAAAAGTGCGACCAAAGTGTGTGTGGCAGGCGGAAAATCGCTCCGGCCTTCTCTTACACACCGCGGTGAGCAGAGTGGTGATGGGTACCCGATACGAGCTCAGGGTCCGCTGTTGCTGCCTTCCGTCTGATGGAATGGTGAGCAGGCTTCGAGTATGCGGGATCCAAGTCTCGAAATGTCTTGAGTGTCGTTGGAGACAAAAACTAACTCATGTAGGGGAAAACTTTGTATGAGAGAGAAAAGGAACTGGTGTGCAGGTGCTGCACTGCATTCTTTATGAGGTGGGTGGTGGACGGCGTGTTCCCAACCACCTTGCAACCAGCCTCTTGATTTCATCCCTGGTGGCCGTGATGCAGACTTTTGTTAGGCCAAACGGGAAGGCACCAGAACATGGGCAACGATCCTGAAACGCACTTTGTAAGATTAGATTATTTTCTCAAAAAACCCCTCCTCGCAAATCAGGCTCCGTATCAATCAAGGCACAGCGTCGCTACACAATGTCTTGCAATTTGACTTCCATTGTCTGGTTCAATGACATCGACAACGAGCTCCGGGTGGGGAAATGCCAGCGCACCTGCATGAGATGTACTGTATACATAGACTCTTGAGATACGCCATATTAAATCTCCCCTTCATAAGTACCTATACTTTGTCCCACAAAACATGATCCAACGGGTAATTATCGATAAGGTGACCGTCCACATTCCGCGGACTCCATGTGCACCGCGAATGAACCATGAACGAACCATGAGGGACGGAATGGCGAGCGGCGGGTTGGAGGAAGGATTTGCCCACATGCCAGAATCCTTCCCCTGTAAATCAGCGGCAGCCCCTAGGTCCCGATCTTTCATGTGGGATCCTGTGAAGGAAAACCAGGGAGGTTGGTGGCTGGCAGATCCCGGTTTGTAGATGGAGGTAAAACATCGGCACAACGGACTCGCAGATGTGGCTGGAGCAACCACCTCTCTGTGGCGCATGCAAGCTTCAGCCTCTCCAAGGTACCTCTCAAGAGGGAGCTGCGACACTACATCATCAAGCAACGGCGTTGGATTCGGTTGGCAACACCTCCCCATCCCCTCCATCGGCGACACGAACAACTCCATCCTCCCATTTCAGTAACCGATCGCCTGCAGTCGCGACCGCCAGCTGCCACGATGTCGCTCGACACCCAAACCTACCTGGTCTCGTTACAGAGTAACATTCGCCAGCGACCGATTCCGTGGGATGGCGCCGTCCGAGCGGGCACGTTGACGGAGGAGCAATATACCAAGATCCGCGCCGTCGACAAGGCCAAGAAGCCAGAGCAGAGGAAGGAAATTGTTGAGTCAGACTTCGATGGCTACAGGCTGCTCTTTGTTGGCGCATCTGGGAAGCCAAGCGTGCTCGAGTCCGCATCTCAACACGCGAACGTAGTCCAGTACATCCTTGTGCTGCTCTCGGACTTGCTCAATGGTCAGTGCCCATAATCAACCATGTCCAAAGCATCTTAGGAAGGAATGACTTTGGCGGACCGCCCAGCTTCTTCAGAAGCTACATCGCTAGCTGGCGATCCTACAGTTCATCCCGCTCTATATACTAACCTATGTCATGAGCCTAGATGTTCCCTCTCTCGCCAAAGCCCTCTTCGTAAATATTGATCCATACCGACACATTATCCCTCTTCTGAAGTCCACTACTGCGGAAGACCCAATTCCTCTGCTCGCTGCCCATGCTCTAACCGCACTTATGGCCACTGCCCGCGACGAGTCTTCATACACCGAGCAAGCGTTGCCTTTGATATTCAGCTATCTTTCAGGCCTTGTTAAGAGTAGCGATGCTGGCTTACAGGATATTGCTGTTCAAGAATATTCGTCCCTGCTCTTCGGACACATCTCCAGAGAGCAATTCTGGAACCAACGTAGCGAAACTATTCAACCCTTGATCAAGATTCTACACAACGCAGCTGGTATTGAGCACGGCAGCAACTCGTCTGCCAGCTTATGGAGCGGTAATACCACCGTTCGTAGCGAGGGCCAGATTGGTGGTGGGGTTGGCCTTCAGTTGCTCTATCACGTTCTCCTGGTCATCTGGCAAATAAGTTTCGAGTCGGAAGAGATTGGCGATGAACTTAGCAAGTAAGTTCTTAGAAGAATCATTTTTACTGGACCACATCACTGACTTCCCCCAGCGAGTACGACGTCATTCTCCTTTACACGCAGCTTCTGCGACTATCCCCCAAGGAAAAGACCACTCGTCTCATCCTGTCTACGTTTTACAACCTCTTAGAAAAGAACCAAAGATCTCTACTTCCCACGGCTGTGCTTGCCCGCCTACCCAGTGTGCTAGAGAATCTAGGCAGCCGTCATCTGACAGACCCGGATCTCTTGGAAGATCTAGAGGCTTTGAAGGAGATGTTGGAAGAATACACAAAGACAAAGACAACGTTTGACGAATACGTCGCTGAAGTCCAATCTGGTCATCTGCGCTGGTCTCCACCACATCGCAACACCGTTTTCTGGGCAGAGAATGCTCGGAAGATCCTCGACTTTGAGAATGGGGAGATTCCTCGGAAGCTGGCAGAGATCATGTCACAACCTTGGGATAACGACAAGCAGGTTCTGGCCATTGCCTGCAATGATGTTGGCTGTTTGGTCAAGGAGGTCCCTGAAAAGAGACACCAGCTAGAGAAGATTGGTCTGAAGAGACGAGTGATGGAGCTCATGCAGTCAGAGGATGAGAACGTTCGCTGGGAAAGCTTGCGAGCCCTCGGAGGGTGGCTCAAGTACAGCTTTGAGTCTTGAGCATTAACGGCACGCTGTTTGGGATGGGTCACACGTGATCCGAGCATCTGGGGAGCATTGCTCGGGCCGTTTTGTTTTAGTGAGGATAGATGTTACGGTAGACTGTTCATTGCAAAATCAGCCATGTCGATTTGTTTTGTGTAATGGACAACGGGAGCGAGGATACTCCTCGGCGCGGCTCTAGATGCCGCCGTTTCTGTTATGTAACTGTTGTTTAAGTAGTATGTTTATTCATCCGAATCCTACTGTTCACAAATATCATCTTGTAGATTAACGCTGGTGGGTCCTAAGTTCTCTCGAGACGAGCTATACACAATCATTATAGGGTCGACTGAGGATCATAGGCCGTAATGTCATGGCGAAATCGTTCCTTGCCTGAAGCCGCAAGGGATGTTACTCGATAACTTAACAGCTTGGGGTTCAGCCTGTAGCAAACCTTCGAAAAGAGACGATTTTTTTTAAAAATTGCTGAAGCGCCCTCTAACCAGCACCCGTCATATATTATTGGGCTGACTTCAACCTACTCTTGAAGTTGAAGTTGTGTCCAGGTCCTTCCGAAGAAAGCTGTCTAACCAGTAAACCGCAGTAGGTATCATCTTATTCTCTGAGCCAGGTTGTACCGGTCCTAACGGCACCCTTCTGGTTCTGCCTAGAGTGCAATTACCGCAAATACAATGATAGCAAGAGTGTCCTGCCCAACATCGACAGTGCCCTCCTCCAGGCAATCACGCCGTGCGCAGAATACAACAAGGCCAACCTGAAAAGCCTAAAGCCATTAGCATTAAATAAGTTTTCACTTGCAATCGTATTACTAGGTAGTCACATGTGCGTGGCCTGGTCTTGGGATCTCCCCTATTTAAAGCCAGCACAAAAATACAATGGGAAGCAGTGTGATGTAGCCGAGAAAAAACCATAGGAAACCGTCACAAGAGATGTTACTCTCTCAACGTACGGTCTCCCTCAAACGAACGGCAGGGTAGTTTGGTCTGGCAACAGCGACCCCCGGTGCCTCACATGTACGGTGAGCTTACGTGGTCGGCGAACATTCATGGGGGTCACAAAGTTGCTTGATTGTTAAGAAAGGAGAAAACGTAGCAATTTCGAAATTTGCGATGAAAAGAGCTTTCGGGTCTTCCAAAATAGGGTTAGCGTGTATATGGAGCCAAGCCTTTGGCTGAAGCCTGGAGATACCCTATAGCAACCGTCATTCAAACCGACATATACTGTATCCTTCGATTTTAACATGGTGGTGTTTGGACTCTTGCGACTAGTTCTATGGCAGCATTTGATGATATTGTTCCAGTCTGCAGGCGTATATTGTTGTTATTTATGTGCGGCTGGGCTGGGAACACCCAGCGTGCATGGCTGGCATTTTTCAAGTTGAGAGCGGTTAAACTTATACACAAGAGGGTGGTTTCTAATTAACATGCTTTCTCACATGCAGAACCCTCATGCCTCAACGTTACTCGATAAAGAGGTTGGCATTAATCAGTAAGCTAAAATCATACTCATCGAGAGCCAGAGGAGGTGCCTGATGAAATCTCTAGGGTAAGAGAACTAACAGGATCACGAAAGCGTCATTCCATTGAGGGTTAGGCGCTCGTAGGTACTAACTTACGTCCCGCAGCACCTTTTGAATGCACAGTGTGCTCATCCGTGTGGCGCCGAACCATCAAGGTGCTGGTTGCGCAACGGTCTAAGTTTTCGGAGGTGTTGGACGAAGGGCCTCTAGTTTCCACACGTGGAGGTTTCGGCAACGTACATTGGCTTTGGCGGCCCTGAACTCTTGTCTTATGATGGTGGCGTGTGACAGTTGTAAGTGTCTTTTGTAATACTTTGATGTAATGCACATGTGTATGATATGCAGTGTAATACATGCTGGAGGTAGTATTTTGTTGATACCTAGGTATCTTAGTTTTCTGGAACAAAGAGTGTTACCTCCTGCTTGTGTCCCTGCTATGGGGGACGCAGGGCCTTAGTAGGAGGCTACCAGCAAGCCCGTTCGCTCCGAATGGCTTACTGTAATTTTTAATTCGGCAGGTATCCAATAGCTGGGACCCCACTGATTCAACCCTGCACAATTTTTTTCTCGGGACTTCTCCTTCACTGTACAATGGGGTCATGCAACCTTGTCACGCGCTTGGCCCGACTAGGCTGAACACAGGGGCATGCCGTTTATCTGACTGGGCCTTTGCAACGGCAGCGCGCATCATCGCAGGTGCCTTCTGTGCCTTCTGCACCGCTACGTAGTAGGTAGTGGCTGATCCCCTAGCTTGCCACTTGGTTGGCGGGCAGTCTCCCCACGTCACTGTCAGAGTCCCCGGAATGAATTCTTGGATGCAGGTGGTTTACTCAGGTCCTTCCACAGTTTTCCCTGCCTGACGCTTCTTTGGGTTGGCATCTTCATTCTTCTCGCTTGGTTATATCGCATCTACCGCCCTCGTCCCACTCTGCTGGGCTCTCTCCCCTTCCCACCATCGTCTGGCTTGCCTCGAATCCTTGCCCGACCGCACGACACCACCAAAAAGCTCGAATGCATTTAATAAACGTGGACTGCGAGTAGAGTTCCTGCACCGCTTCGCCTGACGACTTACGCCACACGAACGGATACAGCGAGACCTTGAAAGCGAGAATCACAGACTCGTTCCTCGTCGTACTCGAGCGCGAGCAGCAATCGCCATGGCTCCGCTGTCGCATAGCCTGTTCCTGGGCCTTGCGTTTGGTTGGGGTCACATTGCACTCGGCTCCCCGATCCAGGACAGCCAACAGCAAGTCCTCAGCAGACCAGACACGAATGCGCAGCAACGAAGGCTGCATGGAAAATTCCTGCACATAACTGGTACGTGATTATCCAAGTTGCTACATACACCTTCCTCTGTATGCGGTGCTTCGTCGGTACGGAATACGGTTGGTTGTTGGCGCATCTGGCAGATCAACCCTGCATCTCAGGGTTGCTTCTGCAGGTCCTCGCTGCATCAATAGACTTTTTAAGCGCGATGGAGGGTCGGGTGGTGAAGGATGAGAAATCCGCTACCCTCTCATGCCCGGGTTGTCCCAATTGACTTTTACGCGTGGCCACCACACCATCACCTCTCTCTGCAGCTAGTTCCCCTGGCTTCATATTCGCAGCCAGCGCAGTTTCATCAACACAGGCTAACTTATCTGCGCCATCGCATTGATAGACTTCCATCCCGACCCGTTTTATGAAGTCCATTCTTCCACAGAAGAGGGCATCGCCTGCCACCGAAAAGACGGTCCAGCGGGCACATACGGGGCTGAGACGACTGACTGCGACTCGCCCTTTTCTCTTGTTAACGCTACCTTTGACTGGCTTCGAGATAATGTCAAGGATGAAATCGATTTTATCATCTGGACCGGCGATACCGCCCGTCACGATAGCGACGAGAAGCATCCCCGAAACACCAACGAAGTCTTAGCCACGAACCGGAAAGTTGCTGATAAGTTCGTGGAAACATTTTCGGACCCTAATGGCCAGCTCCTAATTCCCATCGTGCCTACCTTCGGCAATAACGATTTCCTCCCGCACAACATCTTCTACCCTGGCCCCAACAAGTGGCTGCGCGCGTACAGTGATATATGGGGCCGCTTCATTCCCGAGGAACAACATCACTCCTTCGAGTTTGGCGGATGGTTCTGGGTAGAGGCTATTCCCAACCATCTTGCAATCTTTAGTCTCAATACCATGTATTTCTTCGATCGCAATGCTGGTGTTGATGGGTGTGCCGAACCCTCCGAACCCGGATTCGAGCATATGGAGTGGCTTCGTGTGCAATTGCAGCTGTTACGAGAGAGAGGTATGAAGGCCATTCTGGTTGGGCACGTTCCACCGGCCCGCACCGAGACCAAGAAGAATTGGGACGAAACCTGCTGGCAAAAGTACACTCTGTGGCTACAGCAGTACCGTGACGTCGTCACTGGATCTCTTTATGGCCATATGAACATCGACCATTTCCTCCTCCAGGACACAGACGAGCTTAATCTCATTCTAAACGAAGAGCAGGTCGATATGAGAGGCTCGCTCTATGATGACGTCACCAATCAATCCAAGGAGGACTATCTTCAGGAGCTTAGAGCAGGGTGGGCTGAGTTGCCTGGATCTGCTATCAAACTGCTTGCCGCTGAAGCCACGGAAGACGCCGTTGCGGAATCCGACGTCGATTCTTCAGGGAAGAAGAAGAAGAAGAAACGTGACAAGGAGCTTAAGGAAATTGGTGGGAAATACGCAGAGCGCTATCAGCTAAGCCTCGTGAGCCCGAGCATTGTCCCCAACTACTTCCCAACACTCCGTGTCTTCGAGTACAATATCACAGGAATCGAAGATCAGGCTTTGTGGGTAGACCGCTTCAACCAAGCGTCCCCTGGAACAGTTTCACAACACGAGGATGCGGAGAACACAGATGACGATTTCCAGGAACTCAGGAGGAGAGACGTGGAATCCGAGGGCAAGAAAAAGAAGAAGAAGAAGAAACACAACAAGAAGCCCTATAAACCCAAGGATCCCAACTTCGTGGTTCCCGAGGACCCCCCTAAAGGTTCTACTCCTGGACCTGCATACTCCCCACAACTTCTTACGCTCAATGGGTACACGCAGTATTTTGCAAATCTCACGTTCATTAACAATGATATGAACCATAAATCTGGGCGCTCTGGTCTTGCGACTGAGAAGTGGCGCGATGGGGACTTTTCAGACAAAGAGCCGTCTCACAAGGTGCCGCAACCGAAAGATTTCGCATTCGAGGTGGAATACAGTACCTTTGATGACAAGGTGTACAAGCTCAAGGACTTGACCGTCATGAGCTACCTGAGACTGGCGTACCGGTTGGCCAAGGACCCAAAGGGCAAGAGCAACAGCCTTGCAGGCTCGGGTGATAACTTGGCAGAGAATTCAGATTTCGAAGGAGATGACGACGATCTAGAATCGCAAAAGAGAGGGAAGCATAAAGACAAGGATAACACCAAAGGGAGGAAGAAGAAGAAGC